GCCCAACACACGATGAGAGACCATGAGGCCCAACACACGATGAGAGACCATGAGGCCCAACACACGATGAGAGACCAAGAAGCCTTTGACTCAGTGTTTGCATGAAGGTCTGATGTCAGAATGGGGTGGGAGGAGCAGGACTGGTGACAGAGAAACATGGTTAGCAGACTGGAGTGGTGGGCTGTGGGGGGAGCGGGCGCTTACCAGCCATCCTCGGTACCAAGCCAGACGGAGCTCTGATAAGCCTCAGGGTCGATGCTCAGCAGGTCGTCCAGACTGGCACGTGTGAAGGAACCACGGCTGGAGCGCCGCATGGCCCGGCCGTCCACAGACCCATCCACGCTGAGGACGGCACCACCATACGGACTGGGCACCGGGAACTCCTGCTCCTCCTCCGAGCTGGTGGTCTCTGTCACCATGTCCTTAGAACCAGCACCCTCATCATCTGAAAACAGCATGAGACCGTCTTAAACACACACGTCTGTGTGCGTGTGTGTGCTTGTGTATGCAGGTGTGCGTGGAAGACTCACTCCCGAAGCTGGAGGAGATGGTGGAGTGGCTGGCCTGGCTCTGTAGGGTGGAGGATGGACTTGGGGAGTCCTCGTCATCCGTGTCATCGCTGTCAAAGGGCATGAGCTCCTGCCCTGCACCACCGGGGGGCCCCATCAACTCCAGCGATGAGCCAGAGATGGAGATGTGCAGTTGCTGCTGGGCCGAGGGGGTAGGGTCGGGGGGAGGGGCACTTGGAATCGATTCAGTGCGTTCACTGTGGGGGAGAGAACAGCATCCAATCAGTACCCAGAGCCTCGGCGATTTGCTGCTCTGACTGCGGGCCCCTCCTCCCATTGGCTCACCGGCCCTTGAGGCCCGGCACGGCGGCGATGCACACAATGCGGGCTGAGCAGACCGCGATGCAGGCCTCCACCGTGGGCTCCTCCCGGATGTTCAGCAGGCACACCTGGCCTACGTATCCGTCGCTGTTGCAAACCCACACCTCACACGGGCTCTCGGGGAGGCTGTGGCTGGGGGAGGCGCATGAGAACTGGGGGTGGGGGGGACAAGGCATCTTAATGGCTTACAGTTATTATTACGCCACATTTTTTGTAACGGTGCATTATTCAGAAAGCATTTCGAGAAATTCCATGCTCCCTCCACCAGTATCAACCAATTGGCCGATCCTATTTTTCCATAAACTTGTTAATACTACCATGCCAGCTAACCGTGTTTGCTTATGTTTAAATAGTCAGGCTTTAGATGCAGCCAAGGCTGGGGGCAGAAAAGAGGGCAGGGAAATGTTGCAGTGGGCGGAGCCAGGCTCACCTGCATGCCACTCCTAGTCTTCATGATGGGGATAGCCTTGAGGAACTCTGGGTCCCAGTGGTCCTTGTTCATTGCTGCTAGGGTAGTTACCAACAATGTTGACATGTGTTTTGGTTTGTCTGTATATATGTTTACACAGTGACCATAGCCTGTCCAAATGGGTCTCACCAAGCTTCTTCTTGGCGTCTTCCAAGGTCTGCTCGAAGCCACTGCGGGCGTCGGGGCTGGTGAACTCGAAAATGAAGGTGCTCTCGGCAGAAACGGTGGTCAGCTCCAGCTTGGTGGGCAGGAAGGTGCTGCTGAAGGCCAGAGACTGCTTCTCCGCCAGCTCGCGGTGCACAGATGCCATCAGGTCCTTGATGACATCATCGAGGCTCTGTGGACGCAAGCGCGGGTCGACACGGCTCGTCACTGAGGGCGGGGCCACTCGCCAGACTGCGTCAGGCTTCGTAATCCGTGTGTTTTGCAAGTATTTCACATAAGAAAAGCTAACTGAGGTGTAGCTGTATGGGGGCATGGAGGCCAGCACTGCTGCTTCACACCTCCAGGGCTGCAGGTTCGAATCCTGCCTCTGTTCTCCTCCAACTGTGTAAGCGTGTTTACATGTAGACAAGTAGCCAAATTGTGGAAACACCAAGCATTTTTGGCATCGCATTTTAAAAATGACTACATGAATGCAGCAATGTTTATAAACAAAGAATGTTACAAATATACATTGGACAATTAAATAAGTAGAGCAAAAGTTGAATAGAGTTATGCAATCTCTAAAAACTGGAAGTGTTTCCACCATTTTGGCCACTATAGAATGTGCATGGGAACTGCCTTAAAATGAGATACTAGTGTGACGTAAGTGTGTGTGTGTGTGTGTACGTGTGTGTGTCACCTGATGTGGGAAGCTGAGGGTCTCTGACAGCTTGCTGATCTGGCCCAGTGTGCTCAGGTCCTCGTCTAGCCTGCTGATGGTCTTCTGGATGTTCTCCCGGTTGGTGGATTGCGAAGAACCTACTGGTGCAGGGTCAGAGTTCAGAGCCAAAGGTTCCTGCTCACTGTGAATGTGTCACGCTCTGATATTCCTCCAAAACTGACTGGCCACCAAATGCATTACGACTCATGAACAGATCTCTCCGTGTCTATAAAATATGTCGTCATGGGCAGGCTTTACCTTTGACCATTTCCACATCTTCTAAGGACAGTTTCCAGAGGAACTTGTATTTACTTGAGGTATCAATGACACTGGCAGCAGAGTACCTGTGAAGTGGCCAGAAAGCAAGATGACAGAGGACAGTTGCAGTATCAGTCAAAGGTATGAACACAACTACCCACAGAAATGTTCATTTGTACCATTGTCTACATTTTAGAATATTTATAGACATCAAAAATATGAAATAACGTGGAATTATGCACTGACCAAAGAAGTATTATACAAGAAAAAAATTGTTGGGTGGGGGGGCAGCTCTGCGGGTTGGGACTCAGATGGTTGCCAGTTCAAATCCCTGTGGTTAGCAGAGTGATCCCACCATTGGGCCCTTGAGCAAGGCCCTTAACACCAATTGCTCCAGGGACTGATGGACCCCTGCTTTCTCCTCTATGAGAAAGGCCGGGGACATTAAGTGCAATGTTAGCCCGGACCATTGGGGGAGATTGAGAGGGGGGACAATCATGCTCAGTATGAGGCAACCGAGCCAAGTGTGAGTAAGCCCTAATTTGGTTCGGGGAGGGGGGGGGTGGGTTTCATGCAGCTACCTGATGTTCTCGGCCTAGAGAACAGGTCCTTTCCTGATAGGATTAGGCAGAATGATCTAAGGAATGTTCCGGACCGATATGTCCAATCCTGAGACTGTAGTGTTCCTGGGTTTATGCCGTCCAGATAAAGTTAACAGGGTGGGGCAGGTTGGGGCACGTGGACCAGAAATGGGACTGGACTCACAGGCTCATAGAGCTGCGGCGCAGGGAACCGGACTTTCGCTTGAGCGTCGTGCAGATGAGCAGGTCGCTGAAGAGGAACAGGGAGCGGTCCTTCTTACCGCCAACCGTCTTCTGCAGAGCGGGACCGGGGCAGAGGAGGTGGTGTCAGAAAGAGGAGCAGAGAGAGAGTCATGGAAGGAAGAAAAAGAGGGAGAGTTAGAGAGGTAGAGGGGGAGAGACACAGGGAGTCGGATGAGAAGAAAAGGGGAAGGAGGAGTCAGAAGGATGGAGATAAAGAGACATGAGAAAATAAACAGTCCTCAGCACAGGAAAGATCAACAGTCAGCAACCAAGTGACAGTGTGGTACAGAAATACAGTGTGTGGTGATCACTGTAAAATCTGGGGGGGGGGGTTGCTACTTACAGCTTCAATCACCATCTCCTGCCTCAGGAACTTCCTGTGGGGGTTGAGGATCTGATGGAATTTAAGAACACAGGGGTGAGTGTCCCACTGTGGGCCGGACATGACGATCAATCAAACAGATGCAATTCACAAACATAAATCTACCGTTAAAACAGGATGTTAAGAACTTGGACTCAATCTTCCTGGCTTTGTGCAATAACAAGACAAATGCACAAATGAATGATGCCGTTTTATAAATTTATTAAGTTAGCTTTAAGGGTGCTGCTGCTGCCCAGCTGAATGGTGCATGGTGCGGGGGGGGTTCCTACATGCTCCACCCCCTCGATGTGTGCCTCGATCTCCTGCATGACCCGCGCCTCCCGCTCGGCCTCCTCCGCGTTGCGCCGGCCCTTGTTGATCCGCTCTGCCAGGCACTTGATGTTCTTCTGGGCGTCCAGCAGGTAGCTGTGGTCTGGGTGGTCCTCTGGGGTGTGCTTCAGCAGGTCCTGGCGACAGGGGGAGACGAGGCTTTAAGGCAGGCGTGCTCAGACTCACTGGGAGGTATGCAGCTATCTGAAGCTCCAGGGAGTTGTAACAAGAGACAGCCCTCTTAAAAAAGGAGACCAGGGCTAATAGCCATGAGCTAACAGCTGTGAGCTAATGGCTATGAACTAAAGGCTACAGGCGAATGGGTATGTGCTAACAGCTATGGGCTAACATTTACAGGCTAAAAGATACGGGCTAACGTTTACAGGCTAACGGCTTTGAGCTAACAGCTGTGAGCTAATGGCTATGAACTAAAGGCTACAGGCGAATGGGTATGTGCTAACAGCTATGGGCTAACATTTACAGGCTAAAAGATACGGGCTAACGTTTACAGGCTAACGGCTTTGAGCTAACAGCTGTGAGCTAATGGCTATGAACTAAAGGCTACAGGCGAATGGGTATGTGCTAACAGCTATGGGCTAACATTTACAGGCTAAAAGATACGGGCTAACGTTTACAGGCTAACGGCTTTGAGCTAACAGCTGTGGGCAACAGCTATGATGCAATCTGTCCTTTTCAGGCCCTCTTGAAAAGAAATGATTAAGTGTGTAGGACTGGAAGGGGAACAGGGTCTAAGCCGGAGTCCCCAGTGGGCATGAATTCTCATGGACATTTACAGACCTCTCACTCGGGGGCTTCAAAGTTCACTTTCCCACCGAAGGATGTACGGCCAGCCCTTGAGGAAACGCGGGCTTCCTGGCCCGCAGACGGATGGCCGAGGTCTCCCTGCGAAGGGCGGAAGCCCAGCGGGGGGGGCTGAACTCACCTTGACCAGCAGCTCGTAGCGTGGGATCCGCTGCACCGGCTTGATCATCAGGTCACCGAGCGCCTGCTTCTCTTTGTTCTCCCGCATGCTTTGCTGTTTGGGGGGAGGCAGCCATTGTTAGGAGATCTCAGAGCATCAGGATCCTGCCAGCATCCGCTGATCTGAAACTCACAATCCTGGTATTCTGTCTTATAGGAAAATATTTTACTGAAACAAATGCAGCGGCGAGTTTTTTTTCCATGTTCAAGAATCATGTGCTGAAAATCGGAATGAGGCGTATTTCTGACCTACACATTGTCCTCCCATCAGTCAGGCTGAAATTGGCAGCTAGAAAAATAATTCCTGCATCACAGAACTCATATCCACTAGGTGGCAGTATGACCCAGGTGATACCATACCGCTCATGTCCACTGGATGGCAGTATGTCCCAAGTAATACCACGCAACATAAGATAACGTGGGAAAGAAAAACATGTAATGTACTGAGGGCAAGCCAAAATAAAATTAATTTTGAAATGTAAATCATCGTGCCCTGTGATGGGTTGGTGCCCCATCCTGGGCTGTTCCCTGCCTTGCGCCAGCAGCCTCCAGATTAGAAAAACTCTCCTGAGAAACACCATAAGCTTTGTACATCTCTCTTGTCCAAGAAATAGCATCTTTTTGTGGAAGTTTCCATGTTTCCCCAGACGATAACCTTGAATTGAACACCTTTAGTTGCGAGTTTTGGCAAATCTGCTGACTTACGTCTCAAGAACGCTACTGGTTATATTTTTTTGTTTCTCCTCAGATTTACTGGCTTTGGATCAACAGGAAATGCAGAGACACACACACACACGCACACACACATGTAGGGTAAACATATCCTTATGGGGACCGCTCATTCATTTCAATGGGAAAAACGCTAACGCTAACTATGACAACCTTAACCCCTACCCTGCCCTAACCATAAGTAACCTAACAAAATACAAGAGTTTTTGCATTTTTAGTTTTTTTCAGGAAACCGGTCCCCATAAGGAAAAAAAAACGGATATTTATCACGTTATGGGGACATTATGTCCCCATAAGGATAGGTAAACCCACCCGCTCGCTCGCACGCACACACACACACACACACCTGCACTCATATTTTTGTGGGACCATCCCATTTCTAAGGGCAAAACCCTAATCCCAACCTTGAAAAACTTAACCCCTACGCATCCCTAACCTTTTCCATAAGTAACAAAACATACAAAAGGCATTTTTAGTTTTTCGATTGCAGTCACGTTTTTTTTTTTTATAATAAAATTGAGTTTCCCCTTGTGGGACTGAAAAAACTGTCCCCGTAACATGAAAATAACAGGTTTTTTTTTGTCACAATGTGGGAACCAAATGTTCCCACAATGTAATGTACATCTGACCCCCCCCCCCACACACACACACACACACACACACAAACTCACCTCCAGGAACTTCAGGAACGCTGGCTTAGCCTCCTTGGCGATTCTCACGGCGTCTTTGGCGATCAGAAAGTTATCGATGTATGCAGAATAAATATTCACTAGTATCTCTTTGGAGAACTGTTGGGGGGGGGGGGGAGAGGTTCATGACGTCAGCAGCTGATGTTAACTGATGAGAGCTTGCAGGGCACAGCGAGGATGGCTGGAGATGCAGACTATACACACAGCGCTGGGGGGGGGATGGGGCAGCTCAGTCATAGTAACAGGCGACCATGCAGAGCACATCCAAACTTACCCAGACACAAACAGAGAGGCAGTGGGGAATCACTCAAGTCATCTAAACCAACTATGCTATCATACTGATGTTGCTTATTTAAAAAATCTCGTTTTAATGGGTGAAGCGCAGCTTTCTCATGAGGGACAAGCAGCACACCTGCTGAGATTAGACTGCAGGTCTATTGGTAATTTGTTTATACCCATGTTTATTTAATAATACCGCATAAACTCAAACCATGCCGGACCTGAACGGCATTGCTGCTACTCTTCCTACAGGGGGCAGTAGAGTGCTCCTACGGACATTCGGCAGCCCTGCACTTCTCACGAGGCTTCGTTCACTCTGCACCTGAACAGCTGATGAAGCAAGAGCCCTGACTGCACACAGCCCGAACACCCAAAGACCAAGAGACTTTGCTAGTTTCTGGAGACAGCATCTCAACCTTGGCTGAACACTGACAAGGCTGGGATGGTGCTTCTCTCCATTACACGCCTCGCTGATGCTGCAAATGAATGCTGCACGGCTGCCGATTTCCATTGGGAAGACAAGCAAGTGACCAAACCATTTCCAAACTTAGACGGAAAGGATTCCTTTGGACTACGTGAATGTATTAGTTGATGTTTGATTAGTTGATAGTTGTTTTTGTTTATATGCTGTAGTAATGGATTAACACATATTGTTGTCAGGAGCCTTGGCATAACTGTTTTGAAAGACTACTATAAGGAATTTAAGCTGGTAACCTTCCTGTAACCTATGCTACTCAGCACTTGATCCCACTCATCTTCCAACGGGTCAATGTTTAGTGATGCTCAGCTGGCCCCAAGGAGCCGTATGAGGTCCTGAGGGCGTGGCCTCACCGACTCCACGAGGAGGTGTCCGACCGTCTGCCTGTCGTGCCAGTCATTGACGCAGTCCACCACACGCTCCAGGAACTGCTCATGGTGCTCCAGGATCTCAGGGACCTGGTAGAACATCTCGTCCACCAGCGAGGGGTCGCAGAGGGGTGAATGTTCTGGGTGTTTCAGGGGTTTCATGTAGCCCTGAGACCGGGAGTGGAGAGAGAGAGAGAGAGAGAGAGAGAGAGGAAAGAGAAAGGAGGACGATCAAAGCACAAGGCCACCAGGAACAACATGACAGTCAGGTGGATTTTAATGCTTAAAGTGCAGAACATGCAAATCTCTCCCTTCCTCATCCTGGCTTGAACCCCTAAGGGCCTCGCAGCCTTAAAGATGGGAGCGTAAGGAGTTTGAGGGGATTCCTGCCATCTGAAATCATTACGGAGGAGCTGCCTCACCTGGATCAGCGTGCGCAGAGACTCCACGTAGGACTGCTCTGTGTCCAGCAAGGTCATCACCACATGCTTTCTCATGTCCTGCGGGGGGGGGGCACAGTGGTCACTCAGTGTCACAAGGGTTAGAGAACAAGCAGAGTGATTTCTGTGCAGGCATGTTGCTTTTCAGATCTTTTTTTTTTTTTTGCACACTGGGGAGCTTGAGCGCTAAACAGGAAGAATGTTCCAGATAATCCCCACGGGGCATGTGCAGTGTCACCATCCAGCTCTGAGGAACAGTGGTAACAGGCCCACAGTGCAGAGCTCTGACCAGCAAAGACCACACAAAATTCACACCAGCCTAAAATCTTTGAGTGTGAGGATCCCACTGGCCACATCAATGAACAAATCCAGGCAATATGAGGGAAAGAAAGTTGCACAGGTGTTAAGGGAGGTGTCTGACACACGTTACTGGGGACAGAACCAACGTGTGAACTTAGAGCATAAATATCCATTTATACTTGCAGACATGCATGAGCGGGGCAACTGGCAGAGTCAGCTGACTCTCTCTCCTAGTACAGCAACACCCTCCCTCCCCTCATAGTGGGGTGCGTTTGAGGCCGAGTCAAACGAAGCACCCTTTAGGTGTTTCCTGCCTGGGTCTCATTTCACAGCCCTGATGGTCAGCCTGCAGTGTCACTCCCAGCCTTCCATTCTGCTTCCGGGAGCCAGGAGATCATGTGATCACAAGCGACTAGTAAAAATGCGGCACTGGGTCAGAGGCAATGAGTCTAGTGGTCACCTCCCACCAGTCAGCCAGTCAATCCCTGTTGCAGCCACAGAATGCTCTGGCACTCCGACCCACTCCTGCATTCTTGACAGGAACCCTGCTCAAAACAACAGAAAGCAGCCCAAAGACAGCAAACATGGCTGTATACTTCAAGCGACACCCGGACAAAATGAAATCGAACATGACGAGAACAATCAGTCGCATACTTAAAGCGATTCTGCCAGCTCGTCCGTCCTATGTCACTCCACAAGGCGCAGTGTTTTCAGGACAGCAGACCCACAGACCGATGGCAAATAAATGTATTGCGGCTAGTGAATTAATCAAGGAGATGACAGCTCTTTTAAAATGGAAGTTCTCTTTATTAACAGCCACCATTGGGTTAATACTAGCAGCGTCACAGACAGGGAAGCTAACAATTTAAACTATACTGGCATTACTGGTCCTGCTGACCAACCTCGCAGCGTCACATTTACGCCAGTAAATTGTGGACAGTGGGTGGGATCTGAACAAAATAAAAAGTTCACCTGGGTGACCCTGCACACCCATCCATCACTTATCCATAACCTACCCATGCCCATACCTGGCTATAAGAAACCACAATACCCATAAGCCCCTTCAATCAAACTACTACTGAGTAGTGCTGGTATTATGCCATGGAACTACAATACCCACAAGCCATGAAAAGGTACCAGGAGAAACCAATAGAAAGTAGGGCCCATTGAGGCAGGCGTCCGCTGCAGAAAAGCACACATTCAGGTCTGGGAGACTTTCAGCGGGCTGGACCATCACCTGGAAACCTGTTAACAAGTCAATCAGACTTTTCTAATATGGAACCATAGCGTAGATCTGAGGTTAATGTGACTCCATAAAATACAATTACAGCAAGTAATTGTAATACAATTACTCAGAATTATTTCCTAATAGAAATATTTCACGGTCACCTTGTTGAACAGAGACATTATTAAAATTCAACTACCTAACATGTCCTGGGCACATAAGCCTGTTCATTTACCTGCTTAACTCATTCCGCTTAATAATCTAATTAAGTGCATAGAACATCATCAAAATGTAATTACGCCACCGCACGCTCCGTCAGAACTCTCTCATCCAATGGAAGAGGTCACGGAGTTCAACCTCATGGAGAAACCTCCGGTCGATATTTCCCTCGGATGGGCGCAGCGTGTAATTACGCGATCCCGCGTTTCCCGTGACACAGGAGGGGGGGCCATGAGACGGCCCGAGTCTCAGATGGGTGACAGGGATGGGACAGGAGAGGTTAGCATTGTTAGCATTTAGCCAAAGCGAGTGACAGCACACGTCGCCATTGGTTACAGGGCTGCCAGCTCTCATGCATCCTGCGGGACCCTCACGGTTTCAGACTCTAATACTCGCACAGGAAATCTTACAGCAAATCTATATGATTCCATTATAAACCTAAAATTAGCTACATCAAATGCTTTGAGGCAGTTTTCACCCTATTGACTATTTACAAGGGAATAAAACATGAAATCTGTGTGTGCATTGAAAATGTCACGCCGGCCAGCTGACCAAGGTTGGCATCCCTGACGGGTTGCCAGCACACCGCTTGGAGATCCCTCACTCATGTCTCATATGTGGCTCCCTGATGGAGGAACGAGCTGATGAATCACATTTAGCCATCAGACTCCCTCTCCACCTTCACAATCCCTCTGTTTCAGAAACGCCTCCACTAGCCTTCATCACTGCATGTTGCCTGAATGCTTCTAATGTTGCACTTTCTGCTGATTTGAGTACTTGTCATTAAATTCTTGCTTTGTCTGGAAGATGTTGCATAGCATTGAAATTCAGCCTAGCCGCACTTATGCCTTGTTGACAGCTGGTTATGTGTAACGTGCTATTTGCATAACATGTACAGCACTCCGGACAAAAGTGTCTGCTAGACTAAATGATACCGGGCTGGACATCAGCACAGAAATCAGATGGACCGCAGTATGACTAATGCTTAAAAGGCATGCAAGCAGCCATGCAACCAGCCGCAAGCAAAAGATTAAAACCACAGCTTGAGCTAAAGAGACGACGGCGGGGGGGGTTTGCTCAATTGGACACACACATATCTAAAAAACTCCGGGACTGTCACCCTCCCACGCCGACGTAGTGACAGAGACTGGAATGAAGACACACACCCCCCTGCCCCCCCAGCTCAGCTTCTGTCTATTTTAGGTGTCTTTACCTGAACAGTCCCATAAAGACTCTCATGTACCTTGTGGCTGAAGGTATGTCTTCAATCCCACGATGCCAGCCTTTCATGTACACCCCCCCCCTCCCAAGACGTCACGGTCCAGCACCCCCGCTGCTCCTCACTGTGCCTCACACGTAAACAGCGACTACTGACGCCAGTTTGGTGAAGCGCTGAACCCAAATGCTACTGGTCTGGTGGTCAGGTTGTGGATATGCTCCTTTCAATGGCCTCAAAACAGCCTTACTTTTTGGGGGGGGGTGGGGGGGTGGCTCATACACTTCTAAATGCAAATCGCGTTGCCTGCAGCTCTCACGACGGAACATTCCGGAAAGGTAGGGTGCCAAAGCACGCCATGGACAGTCAGGAACTCCCAAGGAACATTTAACAGGGGAGAAGGGGCCTGAGGAGACTCAGCGTGGCCTCTGACCGGGGGGGTGCCGATCACCATCAGGCATCCACATGCACCGCATCTGAGGGAGGCCGGCCTGTACCATGATGCAGAAGGTGAAACCTGGAGGAACATTGGGGAGGGGGGGGGG